TCAATCACATACCGTCCAGAAGTTGTTGACCAGGAGGTTGAAGATGCTCAATATCACAACCAGGATGATAGCACTCCACTTCGCCTTGAATCCAACAACAACCATGAGACACGCCACCAACCCAAACAGGCTAACAAGGACTCTCCAGAAACTCCAACGGCCCAGCGAATACAAATCCAATGAACAGGAAGATCAGCAACACACGTCCTGCAAACTGGATGTACATTTTCCGGTCCTTCTCGTCGATTTGTGGAAGACCAGCGGGGACAAATTTCTTGCGCACCCAGGAGTCTGAGAGCACCATAAGAAGACCTCCAATGACACTGAGGTTGCGGAGGAAGAAGGTCAGGTCGAAGATGAGGCCGTATCCAAGGGCCTGTGCGACGACAACGCCGAGAAGACCGGCGACAGCATATTCACTATGTTTCCGTGCGATCACCAGTACCGAACACGAAACCATTGCGACGATGTTTAGGATGAGGAAGATGTGTGTGATGCCCCATGGAACTGTGAAGCATTTGATTGGTTAGAAGGGATGGGGGGTGGGTATTAAGAGCCAATGGCCTCCAAAGGGGAAAGAGATATAGGAGGAGCTCTCCGGTATATAGAAAGGGAGTGAAGCGTACTGCGCCTGAAATCTCTCAAATAGGTGAGCTGATCGCTCCATTGAGTGAAGATGCGTAGCGTATCCTCAAGAAAAGTGACGACAATCAAAAAGCGGCCGATGGCTGGTAGATATCTGTATGTTCCGGTACATTTTAACAATATATATGATTAGCCCCCTTAGTTTGCCCCCATTCAGCGCATACTGCGGCATTGATTGGAGATTGGAGAAGCAGAAGCGGGGGAAACGGGAAAATATGGAGAAGGATGCCCATAGCGGGAGTGCAAGCGACTGGTCTGGGGTCTGGGCAAAAACATACGGCTTGACGGGGTCAGAAATCGTGTCTAGCCAATCCTCAATCTTGCTGGTTTGTTCCCGGATCGCATCGAGCGGACTTGGA